ATAGCAGCATGAAATATTTAATTAGCTGCCAAGTAGGATAGTGATTTTTTTTTAGCATTAATCTTTCCAGCATGTACCCCTCTTTCTCCATGGAAGAAAGAATAAGTAAATGAATGTAAAATATGGATTTTCAGATTGCATTTTGCTGAGAGGTACCAATACAGATAATTGCAGTATTCCTTTGATACATATGTTCTGTATTTACATATATAAAGGAGGTGTAAATTAATATTTCTATCTCAGACACCAGAGAGAGCAGGGGGGATTGAATTATTGTTTCTAGGTATTCTTAACAGGAAGAAGGTTTATATAAACTAGTATCCTTTTAGAAATGATATACTGTATTTTTCGGACTATAAGACACACTGGAGTATAAGATGCACCAAGATTTTAAAGAGGTAAATTTAAAAAAAGTTTTTGTACTCTGCATGCCTTGTTTTTTTGTGAAAAACTCCTGGGAGCTAGAGGAGGCAACAATGAGCAAAAAACGGCTCATTTTTTTGCAAAAATGACCCTTTTTTGCAAAAAAAAAAGAAAGCATGCATTTGGGGGGCTTTTAGAGTGGTCTGGGAGAGGGGCAAAATGGGCAAAAAATTGGCCCATTTTCTGCTAGTTTTTGCCCTCTCCAGCCCATGCACGTCCATTTTTGTGAAGGGGCAGGGCTTCAGGAGGCCAAAAATGCTGTATTCAGTGTATAAGATGCACTCAGATTTTCACCCTCTTTTTGGGGAGAAAAAGGTGCATCTTATACTCAGAAAAATATGGTCGTTTGCATGAATATTGGGTTTAAGTTCCTCAGAATGGGATATAAAAAGTTGTTAGAAGTTCTAACTTGGCAGAATTGTTCGTGTATACAGATCTTTGAGGGCTTGAACAAAGTTATACATCTCTAGGTCTGCTCACCTCCACTACACTTTATAAATGATTTAGAAATTATTACAATTCATGAAAATCTATAAAATTAGGGAACAGTAAGGGTCCCTACTAAGGACATTTGGAATTCAATGAATTAATTGCTGCTGAGTACTCCCTCTGGGGGCAAAGAGGAAAATATCTGCTGTGAACTCCACATAGGGGTCAGGAAGGGCATCCAGCCAGTAAATGCTCAGTCGCCCTTACTCCACACCCTGAAGCAAGGGATTACAGGATCGTTAAAAGAAAAAAAAATCGGCTGTATTTATAGGATCATTGCTTTGCATTAAAGTTGACAGGATTTTTTTTTAATATTCTCCAATCAGAACTGCACATCCTTTTCAAGCCAAGAGCTGCTACTGACATTTAATAGGATAATAGTCCAAAGAGTAGGCCAAGCTATGACAAATATAACATTGGACTTAATTCCACTCAATTTCATATAATGTAATTAGTTAATTAATTACAATTAGCAATTAGTTAAATGCAAGTATAGTAACAGGATCGTATACTAAATAGCTTTCCCCTTCGAAATAATTTGGCAACAACTTTTGGAAGATTCTAGAAGTGTAACCCAAGGCTCTGTTAGCCATCTGATCTTCTAAGGTTAAAAGATGTACCTCTAGTCTATGCTTGACACAGTTTCAAGTTGTTTAGCCACAACCTGCCTCACTGTTGCCCCAGAGATGCCTGAGATAATTTACAGGAAAAGTAAGAGCTCTGCTAAAAGCCATCCTCACTGAATGTCATGTCTTCTTCTTATGGCCACTTGTACTATCCGTTTTTTGTTGCGCTTTCTCTTAGACCAGGAGTTAGCATCCTTAAACACTCAAAGATCCACAAAGGTCCTAATCGGAAGCCCCCCATTCAATTCTGGAGCTGACTGGAAGTCTGGTTCCCCCACCATAGAGTCTCTTCCTAGCGTGATGTCTTTTTTCCTCTGCTGACTGGAAATCCGGTTCTCCCACCATAGAGTCTTCTCCTAGCACGACATCCTTTTTCCTCTACCGGTCCTAATCGAAAGCCCTAGAAAGCCATAGCAGACTGATGCTGATGAAAGAGTCACAGGCGGCTCCACAGCCAGAGGTTGCTGACCCCTGACTTAGACTGTGAAGCAGCTGGGCTACAAATGGAATGCCAGGTCTTCAACAGTTCATTCCTCAAACCAAAAGACAGGCTAGACCAAGCTTTCTACCTCAAGATAAAAAAATATTTTTTTAAAATTTGGATTCAAAAATTGATATAATAGCCAAGAGTATCTATGAGGGAAATGTGTCTGGTGGCCTCAATGCAATCTGTAAAAGGGGGTAGGACAATGCACCCTTGAAAACCTTTTTGGAAGAAGTATTTGTGTCCTTTTTTTGATATTCACTGAAACAATTAGCAATTAGCAATTTAATGGGTTTATATGCCGCCCAATCCCGGGGGGGACTCAGGGCGGCTTACAAGTACGAATAAAATAAAATAACATACAGGGGGAGAACATAAAACAATACAAACAGTTTAAAAACACAACATAAATCTGATTTAATTGGGGGTTGACCTGATTTGAGTCAGCAACCCCAGGCTTGCCGGAACAGCCAGGTTTTGGTGGCTTTTTGGAAGACCGCAAGGGTGTGGAGGGTCCAGATCTCTGTTGGTAACTCGTTCCACAGAGCCAGAGCAGCAACAGAAAAGGCTCTCCCCCGAGTGGTTGCCAGCCGGCATTGTCTGGCAGACGGCACCCGGAGGAGGCCTAACCTGTGAGTTCTTATCGGAAGAAGAAGTTGGGAGGTGTGTAGCAGGAGACGGTCTCTCAGATATCCAGGTCCAGTGCCATGCAGGGCTTTAAAGGTAATTACTTAAACTTTCATCCCCCAGGCTAACAGATGGAAAATCCGGAGTATCTTTGGGAGGAAACATCAAAAGCCCCTCGGTCTTGTCTGGATTGAGTGCCAACTTGTTCACTCCCATCCAGACCCTAACAGCCTCCAGACACTGGCACATCACTTCCACTGCTTCGCTGAGTTGGCACGGGGCGGACAGATACAGTTGAGTATCGTCCATGTATTGGTGGTACTTGATCCCGTGCCGGCGAATGATCTTACCCAGTGGCTTCATGTAGATGTTAAATAGGAGGGGGGACAGGACCGAACCCTGCGGTTGAGGGGCCTCGGGGTCGACCTCTGTCCACCAACCAACACCGACTGCGACCTGTCAGAGAGATAAGAGGAGAACCACCGTAGAACGGTGCCTCCCACTCCCACCTCCCCCAGTCTTCGCAGAAGGATACCATGGTCGATGGTATTGAAGGCCGCTGAGAGGTCAAGAAGCACCAGGATAGAGGACAGTCCTATATCCCTGGCCACCAGCGCGACCAAAGCAGTTTCAGTGGAGTAACCAGGTCTGAAACCCGACTGGAAGGGATCGAGATAGTCAGGTTCATCCAAGGACCATCGGAGTTGAAAGGCCACCACCACCTCAACAACCTTCCCAACAAAGGGTAGGTTGGAGACTGGACGATAGTTGTTAAGAATAGCTGGATCCAGAGAAGGTTTCTTAAGGAGGGGTCTCACCACCGCATCCTTTAGGGGCTGCGGGAAAGATCCCTCCTGTAGAGAGGTGTTAATGATTCTCTGGAACCAGCCTCGTGTAACCTCCTTGCTGGCAGAAACCAGGCCAGGAGGGACACGGGTCCAATAAGCAGGTGGAGGCACTTACCACTCCCATGAAACAGTCATGTCTTTCGCCAGGCTTCCATGTTAAGTATGAAAAAAAAAATCAAGGTGCTTTAATTATTTGACCTTTTATAACTACGTAGCTTTATAGCTGTGGCATTTTTTTAAGGTTCATGTAACCCCCCCCCCAAAAAAAAAAAGCTGTGGCTGCTTTAATTAGTAATAGAGAGATGCAATGCTTCTGCAAACTCTAAAGTACTTCTTTAAATCACTTTCAAAGCACACATAGTCCTAACTGAATTCTCGGCCATGTCAACTGAGTATAATGGGGTGCAGAGAGAACCTTGATGTAGGAATACAAGGAATATATTAGGAGAATCATTAAAGAGAAAATACATGACAACTTAATTCTGAGGAAGGAGAGAACGTGAGGAAGAAGTTCCAAACAACCCTGCTTTGATTCTGTTTGGTATAAGAGGGGGCAAAGGTAAATTGGCAGGTTTTCAAAATCCTGTTATTACAGTGTACAACAATAAAGTCAAATTCCTGTAATCAACAGTGTGTCTGTTTTCAGATCTGGCTTGTCTCAAAGGACTTCCAATGATGCAGTCAGTTACTCTAAGGAAACTCCCTAAAATAGTGGCATCTTTTTTTTCAGGCTGACACAGAAGGATCTATCTATTTACAGCATCTTTTCAGAATCATCTTCAAACTACACCCAGCCATAGTAAGAGGCAGCTTGGAATTCTTAGAGGTTTCTGACTTCCTCTACAATGAAATCATCAAAACCTGCACAAATATATTAGAAGAGAATGGGGGGGGATTTAAAATTAGAAAAAGATATCTATTGGAAATTTATTGGAAACAAAATAAGGTTTATAGACTGCCATGATGAAAATTGAATATGAAAATTGCTTTAATCCCCAATCTCCCAAGTAATGAAAGGAAATATAAGAACAACGTTCTACTAAACAGGGATTATGTCACATTTTCACACAACTGGACATGTTCATAGGTTGTTTTTTTTGCCTTTGTTTCAACAACTTCACTTCATTGCTACATAGTGGTACCCAGATGACATTGATTGACTCTAAAAGCTGAGTAGGATTAAATCTGGTTACTATATAGATTAGAGATCTCCATATAATTCCAAGGTTAGATTGGGATCCTGAAAGAACCTTCTAAAAGAAGCCAATACCAGTCCTATTTCTACTGTATAACTGTTGCAAAGAAACCTCTATTAAAAATAATTGCAGAACATAATTCCCTGCCAAGCAAACATAAGCACTTTAAAGAACTAAACCGTCACTGAGTTTTTCTTATCTCTTTGTACATCAAAAACAGCCAGAGGCAATCACCAGGAAGGTACAATTGAAACTGTGAAGTGCCATCTTTCTAGCCCAGAACAGAAATGGATAGATTGGATATTACCTTGGCTGCTACAGAAGAATTGGGCTTCTCCAAAAGGTCCCAGAGTTTTTTTCTCTTTTCTGCACAGCAAGTGTTATCAAATTCCTCTCCCTCCCTTTCACGCATGGTTTCTGCTTCTCTCTTGAGCTCCTCATTCATCTGTTCCTTTTTCTGGTGGTACCTTGCCTGGCAACAAGACTCTAGATAAATTTCATCAATTCCCCAATAGTCCAGTTCTTGGCTGAAGGACAAGGCGCACATTTCCTCCATCATGTGCAACTTGCCCGTGCGGTAAAAGTTCAAGATAGAAGTAAATGCCCCCGGGTGCCTATCAAAGAAATATTCGTTCTCCTCCAAGTTATAGTCATCACATATATCCATTAGGGATTCGTGAGTATTGCAATCTCTGAGTTTACCCAATCTTGTCCGTGGTAACCTGTCCAAGGTTCGCCATAAAACCTCATGTGCCAAGCCTCCCACGTTAAGCTTGACCCTTCTGGAACAAGCTTTGCTCCTGACAATTTCCATGGGATCCGGGGGCAAAGAGGTAGTAGATCGAGATCCATGTTTATTCATGCCTGCAGGCATTGCTTATCTTTAAAAAGACTGAAAGAGGCTGACAAATGATTCCTGGGCTCTCAGGGTTCCAGACAGGTTCTCTTCATCTGTTTTCCTGCTCCTCCATGCCTGTAAAGAAAATAATCCACAGAATTTATGATTTATGATTTATGATTTTATTGACATTTGTAGGCCGCCCTTTTCCCTGAGGGGACTCAGGGCGGCTCACATAAAATCGGGGAAGGGGAAATACAGACAATAACAAAGACACATATAATAAAAACAGTAACCAACATGCATTCATCATTCGGGAGGGGCAACTATCTTCATCCCCAGGCCTGACGGGCTAGCCAGTTCTTCAAGGCTGTGCGGAAGGCCTGGACGGTGGTGAGGGCACGAATCTCCACGGGGAGTTCGTTCCAATACATATAGAATGTATTTTATTACATATAAAGGAAAAAGGGTGAGACGTAGCTTTAATTGTATGAAATGCCCCCCCTTTTTTTCCCAACCAATCCCCCCCCCCCCGGTAATAAATCTTTTCCCCGTTGATCCCGGAGGGAGGGACATAAATT